CACTTCATTTATTGGAAGGCGGGGGAGAGGAACAGATGGCCTTAAATGAGTTTCTCCAAGGTTAATATGTTACTTCATTGTAATTTCCCTCTTTTTCCCCCAGACCTGGGCACCAGTTTAATAGAAAAATGCTAACATTTTCACTAAGACTAGGCCATATTTAATAATATTTATATCACAATAAGTTTTGTAATTTATCTTTTTGTTATTTATGTTTCTCCTAGCCCAGTGTTTCTCATCCTCAGCAACTTTAAGAGGTATAGACTTCAACTCCCAGAATTCCCTAGCCAGCATGATACAGAGCAGGTGTTTTATTTATCAGGGGTATAAGAAAGCCAGTTTGGTGTTGTCATTAGGACACCAGGCTAGACACTGGGAATGGCTTTTAGCCCTGCCTTGGGCACAAGGCCAGCTGGGTGACCTTGGGCCAGTCACTCTCTCTCTACCCTAGGAAGCAGACAATGGCAAACTGCTTCTGAAATCTTGCTAAGAAAACTTCAGGAACTTGTCCAAGCAGTCACCAGAGTCAACACTGAAGAGAGAGAGAGAGAGAGAGAGATTTCAAATATTTTTCTGGGCATCATACTAAATAGGATCCACCAAAAAGAGCAAGGAGAAAATAAAGGAGTTATTCTCTATCTAAAACTTCAGTTGAGAAGAATTATAATTGCCTGATGTATACTCAAAGCAAAGTTTATTGATTAAAGAATCATCACATTAAGATAATTTAAGGTAGTTGGGTATTCATTATGTTAGCCCTGGGTCTGACATTCGGTTTCTGGCATGATTATTCCCTTATTCAGGGACCTCTGGGGTTAAATCTACACAAATCGCAGATTACTAAAGACTTCTAAATATAGCTTCTAATCTATTTTGCTACATGAAGCTAGAATATAGTGATTATTTGTTTGTCTCAATGTTGGGAAGTCTATATAAATGCTGGAGAATTGTTTTCATGGGAATAAGGGGCTTGTACAAAGACAGAAGCAGATGTTCATATAAGTTTCATCTATTATTTTCTTGCTAACACATATTTTACCCCTCTTCTATTATAATTCTTAAGTAATGCAATCCTCTTAATCTGGGAGATTACTGTATCAAAGCACAAGCATTCCAATATTTTTTTAAAAAAAACATTTATTAAAAAACCAAGCAGACAGGTTCTATTCTAAAGCACAAGCATTCCAATATTTTTTTTAAAAAAACATTTATTAAAAAACCAAGCAGACAGGTTCTATTCTTATTTGATATCTATAAATATCTAACCAATTAGCAAACTTCTTCCTTTTGGAAGTTTTGGTTTGTTTCACTTGTTTGTCCTGAACCTTTCAGATGTTTGTAGGACTTAAAATGGATATAACTTAGACATGTTTTTCATTATATAGAGCATAGTGCATGTCACAAAGGAAATGAGAAAAGAAGAAGAAAATCCCAACAATGTACATTTACAAAACCAAAAGCCTGTAAAATTATCACATTCAGGTTTAGCATATCTTGTAAGCAGCTTCTATTCTTTAAAATTTATCCCTAGGAAAAATTTCAGTTCCCAATTTATTGATTTAATTGAAAGAAAAAAGTAATGTAACAATGCAATTCTACACATATTTACTTGAAAGTAAATTGTATGAAGCTCAATAGTGCTTCTTCCTAAAATGTTGTTATGGGATTGCAGTCCTATTCATATGAAGAATCTATATTTTATACAGTTGTGTATCATGAGGTCACAGGATCTGCATTTTTCCAGTTTCTGGCTCTGTTTCTTTCAGCTGTCAGTCAAATTTCCAAGGATATGATAATGCCACTGGAAGAGACACTGTTTTAGTTATCCCAATAAACAATAGGACACATAACCCCAAATTTAATAGGTAAGATAAAATGTCATGAAATGTAGCCCATATTCTTTTTCTTCTCTGATCCTACAATACTAAAGATCAGTACTGACAGATGGTGAATTAATTTTCTTTTTCAACTTAATTATGTCAAATGAAAGAAAACATAATTTGATGAATAGAATATATAATGGACTTTAAGCACAAATACAAGTTTAGTAGTGCCTTGACATATTCATATTTGAAGACTTAACCCTGTTAAAACTGAATGAACCACTGTACTTTTTTCCTTAATAGATCATAGACAATTAACTTAATATTTCTCTAAAAAGTCATTTCAAATCAGATTATGATCACAACGTATTTTGAAAGTAATATAGCCCAGCACTGAAGGTCATGTTCAACAACTCTCAACCTTTGTCAATAAAAATTGAAAATCTTGAACTGGAGAAGGTCAACTGCTATATCTGTCTTGGTCAAAAGATTACCAGGGAGGGTGATATAATAGAGGAAATTGTGAACCAGACTAAAGTAGGCTGCAGAGTTTTTGGACAAGCTTATTCTATATTCAAAAGCAACATATTTATCTACTTAAAGAGGAAATTATTTAATGTGTGTATTCTACCAATGCTGACACGTGGTTGCAAAACCTGGGTGTTAAATGCAAAAGCAGTACAGAGTTGAACATTACACAAAGAGGCATGGAGCAGGCAAATGCTCAACATAACAAAACATGACAAAAAAAATAAAAATAAAAAATGGACCCCCCAACTGCTAGGGATATATTACATAATGAAGCTGGTAGCCTCAAGGAAATGGCAATTGGCTGGCTAGTTTGCATAACAAACAGATCAGTGCTGGACAACAACAATCCTCAATTGGATATCAGTTAACATTAAAAGACCCAGGAAACCCCAAAGGAACATTGGGCAGATGATGAAATTCAGTTCAAAGGTTGTAACTGGAAATGACTAGTTTGTCAAAGCGGTTAGAAAATTGTTGAAGAGGCCTTTGGCCTGCAGTGGATTGATTGGAGCTGATCATGATAACCCAGCACATCTGAACAAAAACTAAAACAACTGAATTTATATGAAAGTGAAAAATTGGAGGGGGAAATTGCCAGTGTTAGGCCCAATGTTAAACATCAGCAATTGCTTTAAAAGTTGTGTCTCCTTATGGCGGAATTGAAAGATTATTATATACTGGGCTTGCCATGATAAAAGGCTTTTAATTCCTCATTAGGGACTGGATTCAGATTTAGTCATGCTGAGAGTTAGATGCACTGAAGTCAGGCGGTCAATATTGATTTCATGTGTCTGTTCTAAGCCACGACATCTTGAAACCAATTCACAGTCATTACTGAATGCTGCTATGGAAAGAAATGTATGATATGATAATGTTCCTTTACACCATACTTGTTGCTACATATTACAATAGGTAATATTGGTTGCCATATTTGGAGAGAAGAAGCAGTATTGAATAGAGTTCCTCAATCTTGCATGTAGTTGAGATAACTGTTCTTTGTTATGAAACAAAGGAAATAATATCTTCATGTCTGAGCATTAGTATTAAAAAACATTTTCATGATTTTGCAAACTTGTTCTAAGTTCCAACCCATCCTTTTGTCCATTTGACAGAGATCTTGCTGGGGTCTTGGTAGAGAATAGGCTTTCCCTTCTGCTCTCCGAACTGTCACTCAGTAGCACCTTCCGTCCTAACACCTGCATAAGCCTCTGATTAAATTCTCTGGATGCAAAGTAGTAAATGAATGGATCTATGCAGTTGTTGAGGCAACTAAAACACAACGTGAGTTTGTAAATATGGTAGTAACCTTCTCCTCCCATGAGACGGCTGACGATGTGCACCAATAGGACAAAGTTGTTGGGTGCAAAACAAATGATGAAAACCAGGAGAACGATTATAGCCAAGTGGATAGACCGTGTCTTCTGCCCATTGCCGTATTTGTGAGAAACCTGGATGAGCTTCCGAATAATGCCAATGTAACAAGCGACGGTAACTGTGAATGGAAGCAAGAAAAAGAAAAAAAAGGGCATCAGGAGGAAAGCTCCCCATGCTAAACGGTTGGGAAGCATTTCCCACTGGAGGACATCAAAACAGGTTGTAATGTTCAGTTCTTTTACTTTGTAAGTCAGGTCTGCTGCTGCAAGTGGCCACAAGGCTAATAATACCAAAAACCACATTACAAAACAGGTAGCAATTGCATATCTCTTTCTTCTCCATTTTTGGGAGGTCATGGGGTATACCACCCCCAAATAGCGCTCCAAGCTGATGAAGGTCATAGTCAATATGGAAGAATACATATTTGCATAAAACATCACTGTGACAAAGCTGCAGAGCTTCTTGCTGTAAGACCAGTGGTTCTTCTTAACATGGTATATAATCTGAAGGGGAAGACAGGAGGCCAGTGCAAGATCTGTGAGGCTAAGGTTAATCATGAGAAGAATTGATGTTGTTTTGGGCTTGATATGAAAGAAGAGAATCCAGAGGGAGAAAATATTCCCAGGGATGCTGATAAAAGCTATTAGTGAATACACAACTGGTAAGGTGATCAGAATAGCGGGGTTCTTAAGCATGTCCATTGTGGCATTATCCAGCGTCATGTTTTTTATCATTTTCTATGTTTGATTTCTTTGTTCTTGAAAGTTTGAAAGATGTATCTCACAGCTTAAATTTGTACCCTATAAAGTAGGCAGATATAGAAAAGAGATCAGTGATAATTATTGGGTGTAAATATTTTTTTTATTTCAGCGTTGCTTACTATTAAATTATCTTATTGCAAATATCTAATAATAGCAACAGTAGTAATATCGTTTTTAAAATGTACACATAATCCATCAGCTTTTGGATGAAGAATGGGTATTGTTAACATTATTGGACAAAATTGAGATTATTATTGGAGTAACCGAGGTTGAAAAATGAAACAAGGTTGTTGCAGTATGAACATCTAATTTTTTTTTACCATAATTTGTATGATGCTTGCTTGTAATCATGCTAAGTGGCTTACAGCCATAAAAATTATAAAGTAACCATTAAAATTACAACTCGTACAGTATGCCATCATGCTATCCCAAATCTCCTGCCACTAATTAAAAGACATCCCCTCTTCTGAAGGCTCTCTGGGAAAGGTATGGTCTTAACAGCATTTTGGAATGACAACAGGGAAAAAGCCATGGAGAACAGGCTATTCCAAAATGAGGGGATCAGCATAAGGTCAGATGGTCCCAAACTAATGAAGAATCAAGCCCCAAAAGGCTTTCTAGATAATAATCAGCTTCTTGAGTTGGACCCAGAGCAATGATTTCATCCTTGTAGCATCAGCAGGCAGGTCTTTGTTTTGCATTTTTTCCTGTATCTGAAAGAATTAAACAAAAGGAAACCTTACCATATCAGGAGGAGAGGAATATAAAGAAAAGCTCCAGCCAGGTAAGATCTAGAGGTCCCCATTGGATCAGAATGCACACCTTAGTGATTGCTGTCCAATACAGTACCTACCCTCTCAAGTAAGGAAATCCATAATGGACAGTTGGCTAAATTCTTGAGCAACCTCTATCTTCCCCCCACCCCTTCAGATTAAATATGCAAGAAAGAGTTGGTGACTCATGTGATGATATGTGGGAATGACCTTGGGAGACAGGAGGAAGATCTGCAGCCTAGGCAAGGACCACTACTGGCTGGTAAGGAACAAGACAGGGAGCAGTAAGTTATCAAGATTTTACTCTGGATATGCTCAAAACCTTGACCAATTCCCTTCATGGATATTTTTCACTTGAAGTTCAACCTGCATTTTGGATAGACCTACCTATTATCCCTTCGTTTAAATGTAAACCATTTTCTCTAAGTCTACCTACCATGCATATTTCCTTTGCTGTGATGTTTTCTAATAAAGAAAATACTATTTAAGATAGACAACTTTGGTGCTAGTTTATGTCTTGTGAGTTGTAATCTGGTAATCTGCTTCTGACAACCTATATCCCTGCATGTTAACTACCAGTAGATGCTTAAACTGGTCTTATTTTTGTTTTGTTTTGAATTAAGTGCAAAGGGAAGTGTAATGGTATTTGGGAATGACCTTGGGAGAAGGAGGAAGAGCTACAGCCTAGGCAACAGTGGATAAGAGGTAGCTGAACCCACATAAGGAAAGGGGGCATGGCAAATGTCTCAGAAGGGATCCTCCCCAGTTTCTTGGACTGTAAAAGCAAGACTGAAAAAGATGTACTTTCAGACTTGCAATATGGATGTCAGCCTTGTGAGGAGTCCATACAAGAACCACACCCAGGAGTACTAGCTCTATCTTTATTGTAAGGTTACATTAACAGAATCTTGCAAGATTGAAAGTCTTTCTTCCCTCCTCCCCTTTTACTTCTGGAAAACTAGGGAGGGTCCCTTCTGAAGCACTTCCCACACCCCCTCCTCTCCTTCTGTGGACTCTATCTTTTACATGCCAGTTGTCCAGTCTGCAACTTTCTCTCCTGTCTCCCAAGGTCATTCCCACATGCCATTACAGTCTGCCTTCAGTCTCTCCTCCCTGTTCAACATTCCCTCTTGTCTAGGGCTATATGCGGTATAGACAGTCCATTAGCAATAGTATTCCAGAATAAATGTATTGGGCAATGATGCATACAACACACAGCTTTATTACTGATTTATTGCATAGAGTTATATGGCCACCATATGAACACATGACTCAGGGTGGCTAATTGTCAATAAAATAAACACCATAATTAAAACAATGAAAACCAAATTTCACACACAGAGTGAAAACTGGGGGGGAGGGGGAATAGCTACCATATCAAAATTGGCTCATCAGTACCTGAGCCCAGTTCTTGGGGAAAGAGCTAGGTTTTTAGTGCCTTATGAAAGGCCAGCAAGATCAGGTTCATCCAAATCTTAGGCCCCGCAACAGAGAAAGCATGCTTCCTGGGTCCCTTTAGATGGCATTTTTAATAGAGGGACCCAGAGCATGCCCACCCTGCCAGACCCATTGGGACAAACAGAAGTAATTGGAGACAGGCAATCCTGCAAATAATCTGGCCTCATGTATGAAGATCTTTACAGGTGATAACCAGCACCCTGAATTTTAGTTTGGAAGCCCACTGACTTGCAAGATTGATGTCAGCCTTGCAAGATAGTCCAGACAAGAAGCACACCCAGGAGTACTAGCTCTATGTTAATTGTAAGGTTACATTAACAAAATCTTGCAAGGCTGAAAGTACATCTCTTCCCCTTTGCCTTTACAGTCCAAGAAACTAGGGAGAGTCCCTTCTGAGATGTTGATCATCCCCTGATTCCTTCAGCAGGCTCAGATGTCTCTTACCTGACTGTTGCCTAGTCTGCAGCTCTTTCTTCTGTGTCCCAAGGTCATTCCCAAATACCATTATAGGAAGGCATTTTTCTTCTTTAAGCTTTGCTCCTATCTCACATGCAGGGATAATATGGTGGCAGTGATTACTGGTAGAAACAATCACTGCTGCATTCATTCAAACTACCCTAGTGAAGTAGGCAAGGCCAATGGTGGGTGACAGTGAGTGAGAAGGAGAGACCCATTACAGTGAGCTTGGTTTATCACAATAACTAAGCGCTGGATTTCCTGCCACAAAACCCACAGATGAGGTTCTTGGACTCCACCCTTCATCAGGTGCAGACTGTAGGGGCTCTTTTGAATTGCTTTCCCAGACATCCTCTGGGTACTTTAAGTTCTTATCTTTCAAAGTTCCTTAGGTTAACAGACGCTGCTACTAAACACAGAGTAATGAAAAAGAAAATGTGAAAGAAAATCTAGATGTGGTTTCTTCTATGGTAGCACTTCCTCACATATGCCTTTCTAAAACATTTACTAATGAAACTAGTCAGACTACTGTTTTTGCTAATAAATTTATTCATTAAATTTGTTAAATACCTCAAAATTAAATTTGCCAAGCATTTGTGTATTGCATGGTAGCAAATAACATTCAACAAAGTATAATAAAACAGGAATCTAGATAATAAAGAAGCAAATTACTATCAAGCTAAGAAGAAA